TATGGCCGGCCTGCTCTAAGCGCGCAAACATGAGAACGTAGGCTCCTGTCGAGACTCGGTGACTATCGGTGGACGCGCGTCCTGCAGGACTGGATGATGGCCTGAGGTGCGCTTGGGACGGTGACTATCCTACCGCTCCCTGCGAGGCCTCAATGCAGCAGCAAAGGCGCTTTGGAATGCGCGTTCTCCATAGTTTCTCGGTCTTCTGCGTTCAGTACTCTCGCCCTGGGCCGATCCGCTGGCCTCGCCCGAGGGTGGGGATGTCGGCGAGGGAGACGGCACATTGACCGAGGGTGCAACTCGACTAGGCGCACTGCTCGGAGTGGCTCGAAGCGATCTCGGCGGATTCGGGGTCGGGATGTAGACCCTCTCGTAGTCGCAGCTGACCTCTGGTAGGACAGGCGTCTGGTACCCCAGAGGGCCTTCCGGAAGGTCGCTGAAAACGAAGTGCTCGAACGAACTCGGTGCGCGAGTGTAGTTGATGTTGAAGACCTCAGGACCGGTTTGGTATATGATCTGCGGCTTGGCATGGGACATTGAGACACAGGTTATCCCGGACGTCGCTGTCGGGATGTGTTCGCGTGCGGAAGGGAGTGTAGAGGATTGCGCGTGGCTGTCGTTCACGTTAAACAGTCTCGCAGATACACATGCAGAGTCACCGTTTGCTGATGAGTGGCGACGCTTCCTCCGCCTTCTGCTTTGCGTATCCTGGCTCCCTTGCTTGTTCCTCTGTTGGAGTGTAGCGCAGTCCCTCCTCTTCTCGAGCTGCTCGATGTTTTCGCAGACTTTGTTCTCCTCGCATGATCCATTCTTCTTAGTCTGATCGACTGTGGCCGTCTGTTCTTGCGCGATCTTCACCTCCTGTTCTTGAATGAGCTCTGCGGTTCCCTTCTTGTGTTTCTTCCGCTCTGCTTGAGGCCCATGTTCCAGTTTCTCTTGCTCACCAAAATTCTCTTCTGCAGGACCTGCATCGTCCCCTGTGGTCAGCGCCCGCTCATTCGGCTTCTTTTGTACGCTCTCTTGTCCCAAATGAACGCATTCAAGTGCGTGCCATCCATCTGGTCCAGCATCCTGCTCCTGGATGCCTGTTTCATGAGTAGAAGCGGTAGTTGTCAAGTCGGCATGTGCGGATGCGTCATCGTCCGTGGATTCCGGAGGGTTATTTACCTGAGGAACATCGTCAGATGAGCACACGTGCTGAGAAAGACGCACTAGACTCACTTTGACTACATTTTCTACGGCTTTGCACAATTCTTTCAGCTTAATGTCAGCAGTCTCCTGTGCATCCTGGGTATCTTGTATGGCTAGGGTATTGGGGTTATATACAGCATCGTCACCACCGAAGTGTGCCGGCGCTGTGTCTGAGTGTAAAGCCACACGACTCGCAGAATACTCTGATAATGGGGGAGGCATTAGAATCTTCATTTAAGACGTGAATTTGTCATCAGCCGTACCTGCAGTAAATGCAGGAGACGCATTGAACTCGCTTGTAATGTGTACGTTATTGGCAGCTTCTGACTCATGTGTCATTTCCGCCGTTTGAGCTAGATGCACCTGGTAATCTGAGTCTGTCGTCGTGGTGATTATTCTCTGTGGCACATACAGTACGAGTGTCTACTCACCATTGTCGTAGATGTTCCAGTCAGGGCCAGTGGCCACTCGCAAGCCGGAGATGATATTCACCATACTAGAGAGGAAGTCCGCCGATGCATCCTCGCTGTTCAACGCGAGCTCTGCGTGGAAGAGCGAGGCTGCACCAACATCTGTGTACGAGACAAACATGGGGGAGACAACGATCTGGCAACTCGGTGAGCTCACAGCGCAGATGAAGTTGGGAACTACTCACTGAGGAGCGCCACCGGCTGGCATAGATATTATTCTTCATGATACCGTTCATGAACGCCATTGTAACGATATAGATTCCGCACACAATCGCGACTGCCAGGACGCCACGCCAGAGAAGGCACGTTAGCTGCGACATATCCATGGGTTCCCCGATTTCTACATGCTCCTCCAAGATAATAGGATCCATAGTGAGGTAAGCCACTTGCGATACCAGTGTATAATTGTCCATTTCCGCGACAGTCGATGGTGGCGGGGCAGGTGCTGTTATGAGGCATGACGGCTGGCGTTCCTCGGATACCGGAAGCATGGTGGGCGTCCACGGAATCAAATCCTTTGATGTCATCGTTGTCGGATCGGGGATAGGATATTGTGCTGGGTAGGCCGGGCGAGGGGGGGCAATGGCGCTGTGTGAACAAGGTAAGTAATTGTGGCGATGCATATCAAGTTCACTTACACAAGTGAATGCGCAATCTCAGTAATCGTGGGTATGTGCGTTAAAACTGCGTTGATGAGTAGTCCGATTGTGTTGGTGGGGTAGAGGGTGTTGTGTCCTTGCATTTGTGCGACGAAGGCGAGGAGGGCAATGCCCATATGACTGGCTATCTGTAGCCAGAGCATTGTTGTTGAGTAGTTATTTGCTTTGAGTCTACTGCGAGAGTTTGTGTCAGATATCTATATCAATTGTGTGTTGAATGTGGAATAATCCAGCAACGCGCTGAGTGGCGCCACAGGACGTTCCTGGTCACGGTTGAAGAAGTGCAGTGTTCAACCACGACCAGGGCATATTTAATGTTGAAGAAGAGCATTGATACTCACAAACTAAAATGATATGTAACTCGTAGGTATGTCCGAGTATGTTGTGGCGAAGGTATGGGATGGCCGAGTGCAAGATGGTCGAGGGACCGCCACCACGGAACGGTCGCGTGTAAATATAGGGAAAAATTACCTAATGGATTACCACGACCCTAAACAGGGTAGGCCCTCCCCGTGTCTGCATTGTCTCCCCGGATTGTCGCCATTACAAGAAATACAAGGGCACAATTGGAACTCCGCGTCGGCCAGCAGGACCAGTGCCATAGCCCGACTCAGGAGGCACGACTACTTCGGGTTTATAAAGCGTGTATGATCACATTCAATCACAGTAAACATAATACATACCAGGCGCTGCCGTCGAAAATACGTCCGTGCAGCGATCTGCGTTGTGGCGTAGTGATCGTAAATGGCAAGTGCTTGCTAAATGCAGACAGACGCTGGATGACCGAGTAATGATGTGTCACATGGTCACATGGAGAGATAGGCAATTTTGTTGTACTCAGTCGGTACAAGCTGGATGACAGCGCCCTCCGAAGCTTGGTGCGTGTAATGTGCCATTTCTACAGGATAGTGCGTTCACACACACACTCGTTGCACAAGGCCAACAACATACTTGCAATTACATTCCGTATGAATGCACTGGGTGTAGCTCATTGCGACATCGCGGGGCACAATATTTTGTATCGACCACACGATCTCCGGTATCTATTCGTTATCATCAATTTCAGCGCTGCGGAACCGCTCACGTAGATCCAATTCGGCAACGACCAAGAGAAGTACGTGTATTTGGCACTGTTGCGCGGAGCCATTCTAATCGGATTCTGCCGTCATGGAATAGTGTTATTCTTTCGTTGTCTGGGATGAATTTTCCGCTCGCGGTGAAAAGAAAGTGGATAGAAGATCTTCGGTTGAACCCTTCATCGGAACAAGAAAGGCTCTTCGTCGACAATGTGAACGAGCAGTCAGAAGAACGAGAGGCAGATGTTTGGGAGGACCTCATTGACTCCGACAATGCATAGTGAAACTGGTTACGCACATGGCGCAATGGGCCTATTATCTAGACAATATCAACCGTCATTCATCGTCCATCGTCCACGTCAGTCCGAGTGATGTTCTTGCAGATGGATATTTCACTGGATAATCTGGTTCAGAACTTTGTACAATTGCATGCGAAGACAGATACCTGCTACAGTCAATGCGCCGTCGGTCCTCAAAAATCTAACATATTTACGTATAGTGCTATCTCATGGTGAAAACGAGATACTGACGGCTGAACAACTGCAGTAGCAGTTCTCGACATATCTCGCAAAAGCAACATTTGAGATGCAGAAAGAGCCTTGAGACACTGGGACAAGACAGGAGCATCACTTCGATCTGCTCGCATACCTCGTGGAACTGGTCTTTCTCACACTTGGCGAAGGGATGATAGCCGGAGCCCGAAGCGGCCCACTGGAAAACGCTCATACATAAGGGGAGTTAGGTCCGGACTGTTGAGAAACTGAGAGATACACTTCCCAGACCGGTTGGAGAGATACGCCCTCCCAGTGGACGGCTTTAGTGCCGATGTCGATAATAGCGTCGGCGAGGGGATGCTGTTAGCGCAAGGATTGTCGCGAAACAGGACGTAAGTCATGCTCTCCGCATCTGGACTTGTCTTGAGGAAGTCGGGGTGGAGCGCACGAAGTGCGTCGGCAGCCTGGACTACCTCGTACGGTTTTTTGTAATTGTCAGGGTCATAGCCTGTGCGCCCATTTGGCGAGAGAAGTTCGGCCGCAACGACCGGATTTTTTTGATAACGAGCGCAATATGCAGAGGTAATGCCTCGAACATGCGGCTCAGCTGCTGGATGTACCGAGTCTCACGTCGCCGTCATCATGGATGAATGGGAGCCTGACCATAGGCCCTATGACAAAGTCAGATCTCTCGCAACATGAGTGTGCTGAACTAGTGATTCCTCGGCAAACCATACTAGCTCAGCATCTCTTGGCCCTGAAGCGAGAAACAGGATCTTCGGGAAACAAATAGCCAGGGATGCGTCTGGAGGAATCGAAGTATTGCGACTGTGCTGGTAGGCTTATAGTATGGGTCGACGGGAAGAGCGACACGCATGACAAGATAGTCTGAAGGAACAGCCGCAAGGGCCGAAATATCGTTGTTTTGACGCGTAGAAAACAAGTATAGTTTGTCAGATACGTCATCACAGTCGATTTCGCTCGAGGCATCGGACTCGGTAAAGCCAACGTCCTCATTGTGCCGAAGTCGGCCCCTGTAATCTACCGCGGAACGATATCAAAGGAGCTGGTGCGACCACAGGCAAATAAGGACCCGAGATGTGGGTTCAAGCTCGAACACATACCACGTCATCACGACCGCGTCGGTCGTAGTCTTTCGAGGAATAGTGTACGCAGGGGAGTGCCTTACTATACAGCGTCCACTGGTTGCTCGCGCCATCGAATTGCAGTTTGGACGTCTCTGAGGCCCGCTTAAGCAAGGGCCTGCGCAGGTCGTAATGCTGATCGATGCGCATGCCACGAGCGGCGTCAGCCGACGCGGCGATCAGAGTGGTACATGGACGAGACGCGGCATGGATGACCCCGCCACAGCCAACTGTGCCACTTTCGAGGCCTGCCTCGCTCGCCGCATCCTCCCTGGCCTCCTCGACCCATCTCCATGCGCAGAGCCAGACAGTAGTAATCCTACACTCGATGACTTCACCTCCTACCTCGCTTCCGAGATCTGGCCCCTGCTTCCCGCCTCCTTGCGTCACGCTTCGCATCAGTCTCGCCATGCCCTCCCGGACGTCGACGCACTCCCGCTCGCGCACATGCCACTCTCATTCGTAGACACCCTCGTCGCGTGCCGCATTGCAGACGACGAGAACGCCGTAGAGGCCCTCCTCCGGCGCGTGCTCGTAGACTACGCTGCAGAGGCATGTGCACCCCCACCCGTGTGGTCGCGTACGCGTGCAGAGGCGTGCGAGATCTGCGAACGCGATGTGCCCCTAACATACCACCATCTCATCCCCCGCGCGGTTCACGCTAAGGTCCGCAAGCGCGCCTGGCACCCCGAAGTCATGCTCAACTCGGTCGCGTGGCTGTGCCGACCATGTCATTCAACGGTGCACCACATTGCGAGCAACGAAGAGCTTGCGAGGGAGCTCTACACGATAGATAAGCTACTCGCGAGGGAGGACGTGCAGAAATGGCGCAAGTATATATCTAAGCAGCGGTGGGGGGTGAAACGAGGGTGATACCCGTGTGTGTTCATCAGTTGTACATATTTTCTTTCTCGGTCGTTCTTTATGCATGAATTCGGAGAGACCGACCTCGAGTGTCTCACACATGTTCGAAGCGTTGTACCGACGAACATCGAGAACCGGCGATGGGTTTGGAAAGACCAAACTGGTCCCCATGCCGTGTCTGACCCGCACAATTCGCAGTGACTGCCTTACACAAGACGCGCTGGAATTCCAAAGGCACTGTCGTAATATGAGAGATTCTATAGACCTCGGTCAGGTATAAAGTGCGCTATGGGTATACGTCACGAAAAATACGCCTGCAAGGTGTGAACTATCCTGAAGACATTTAGTGAGTTATTGGCGTGGTATTCACGCGTTAGTACACGCACCACATCCAGAAGATCAGGATCGAGGAGCAGTCTCATAAATGATCTGAGGCTCAGGAGGGATCGTTGGGGGCGGCATGTTCCTGAATCCAATGGGATACAGATCTAACATTCGACGGTATTCTGAGGATTCCGCACCAGCGAACCGTTGGTGATTATTCGATGATGCGGATGCATGCCGCAGTGTATAGTGCATTGTGGAGAGAGAGTAGCTGCGATCGTGTGATGTGTGATCCTCTGCTTGCGTGCTGTACAGCACGTTCTTGGGGCCCGTCGAGTACATAATTTGTGGCTCAGGAGCGAGTGGAGGGGCTCGCACGCCGGGCCATAAGGAGTCGTTTGGCGAGGCAGCGGGCCCGTCCTCAAACATAGGGAAAAAAGCCCAAGGTCCAAAGTCGCTGTCAGGCGGGAAACTTTCAGATAAGGGCAGAAAGTAACCATAGATAGACGAAGGCATATACCTAGACCTGTGGGATCCTCCCGTCGGCATATGGAGCGCATCTGCACCCTTGCAAGCCGCGCTCTGCGGAGTTTGTTCCTCCCGCTTGTCCTGCGCACCCTGCTCATTTTGCTCGCGAACAGAAACCCTATCTCCGTGATACCCCGCACCTGGATGCGGGACTTGCACCTCCGTCTGATCTGTCTGCGCCTCTTGATCGCGGAGACTCTCCGCCCGGTGAGACAGCGCCTGGCGCACAAGCTCTTCCTTTTGCAACACACGGTCTGCGGCTAGCTGGCAACGGCCATTCTCTAACCGTGCATGTTCTTCCGCTACCGCGACGCGCGCACGCTCCAACTTCGCACTTTCTTCATCCAACCGAGCGCGTTGTGAGTCCACTTCCACGAGTAATCCGTCGATTTTGGTCTGCCACTTGTCCAACTCGATTAGCCGCACCTTCCACTCTGCTTGTAGTTCATCGATCTGTGACTGAGCCTTACGGATCCTGTTTCTAAGCTCTGCGAACTCTCTTGGGAAAGCATGCTCCATGGCGGTGAAATCCAGAAAGATGTTTTCCAGTGTTTCCTCGGGATTTGCCTCGTTGCTCTGCACGACGCTTGGGTGAGCTGGTCGAATGCTTGATTCGTAGATTGATACTTACAGAGGGTATAATACTTCCCGTAGCCTCAAGGTTGGTAAATTCCATTTGCTGACTCCTAGGCGAATGCTCAGTCACCGTCTGCGATGTTCAGGTGCCTCGTACATACGGGGTATTCAAAGTATATGCAGCACGGCTACTATTGACAGAGGCGGATGCTGCGTTGGGGTATAAATCCATGTGTCTGGCTGACAGCTCTATCAAGACACAGAAAGTTAGCACATTCCCAAGTATGAGACGACTGTTGGTGCTACCTATGGTAAGGATGAGCGATGGTTTAGGGCTTTTTGCAACACTCTTACCATTGAGATCCTTGGGCTGCGAGATGGCACCGGAGTTTGGATTCAATGAGAGCTTATTGCCGTTGCGCTAACAAAACCATGAGCTCCCCGCCAGTACATGTCATACAGAACGCCACGCACCGAGGAATACCACCGTTGATCATCACAGAACGCAGAGAATATGCAATTACTTGAGCCCTTGTGCAGGCTCACGATGCTGTAAATGCAGCATGCAGCGACGATGAAGATGCCACTCGCGACACAATACGCCAACTTGTATGTACCGGCCGATATGTTGGTGCGCGCCTGCCAGACCACGAGATCCGTCGGCGGGAATTCTAGCCGCATCCTCGATGTATGGTTGAGAGGCGTGGTGATAGTAGACAGATACGGCACCGATGGCGTAATTAGTTGTGGTAAGTTCAAGCTTGCGTGTATAGGAGGAGTGGTAGGCGTCCATATTGTCATGTCCTTGAATTGTGCTGTCGTCAGGGGTGCAGAAATTGCATACCGAGTAGGATAGGCCGGGAGGGAGGAACTAGAAGCGCTGCGAAGATGGATAAGAAGGTACAGCGCACCCACAACCGCCTCACTTACGTCAACAAGCATACCACGTCCGTAGCAATTAACCTTAGGTGTGGTACCACCGCGTCGATGAACAGTCCTATGGTTTGGGTGGGGTATGGGTTGCCATATGTCTGCATGCGCGCGACGAGGCTGAGCAGGGCAATGCCCATGTGAGTGGCCATTTGAAGCCACAACATAACGGTGATGCACGGTGTTTCCTGAATAAAAGTAATTTCGAGAGCATCAGTTGCTGATGTCCAGGGTTCGCAAAGGGCTGAATGTCCAGCTGCGTGCCGTTCGTATCGGAGCAACGGCGCCACATGGATTTCTTGCCATGGTCAAAGCTGAACACAGCCAGTGTACAACGCTGACCAGACGATACGAGAGGATAATGGCAGTGTTTAACGCTCACAGAGTAGACGGTATGCAATCGCAAGAGCGCCACAATATCTTATGGTGAGTGAATGTCGAGCACAAGATGGTCGAGAGACCGCCGCCACCGTTATATAAAGCGATCACATCTAGATCTTGAAAGCTTTGACCCCTAAAGACACTACTCCGCGACGCCATTGTTACTGGATTATCGCCACTGCAGAGCATACAAAGCACAATTGGAACTCCGCATCAGCCGAGAAGACAAAAAGCAAGGCCCCTGCTTGCGGTGTAGTCAGGATCACATAGGCAGACTTGAGGCACAAGCTTCCTTTGATACACAGATCCATATATTGCAAAAGACTGAGGTGCGCCAGACGAAGTGACGGCGAAGGATGACCCGAAGAGGCAGCCCAGAATTGACGCAGACTCTGGTAGACGCCCAAGAATCTGCGCTTTGCACGGTTTGCATCTATATTATGTAGACCAGAACTGCTGCAGCCGTGTCCTGTCCATGTACAAGAGATTTCTTAGCTGCATACTCATGCGCTATGAAGGCTAGACAAGCACTCAGGATTGGAGAACCTTGCACTGAGTAGCACAAGGGCCAGACTTTGCGGCGATGTCGTAGGCAAGTGACCACGATGCCTTTGCGAGATCAAGATTCCGAACCTCTGAGACTTGCAGAGTTGAGCAACACGCCTGTATTTGTATGCGATTTGAATTATATGCATAATAATACATTGCCGCCTTAACATCCAAGGCCCCAACTAGATAAGCATCAAAAAGCGAACATCAAAGCCCAGCAGCGGCCTGCAGCTTCGCGAAATTTGGCGTCCCGAGACCGGTGACCTAAAGCAAATATTCATAAGCAATATCCTGGCACCATGCTGCACAGGCGACTCACCGCATCCCATCCAGTGACTGCAGGGAAACCGTTCGTGTTGCATCCCGGGTTGTCTCCGCTCGTGATATCGGTCAGCGCGCTCGCCGCGGTGCTGTATAGCCAGGGGTTCAAGAACCCGAGCGTGCTCTTCCCCGCAGCGACGAGCTGGTCGTTCAAAAGCGCGATTACGCTCGCAAACGTCGGGCTCGCGCAGCTCGTGCCGTCGACCGTCCCCGCACTCCCGTCGACAACGATCTCGAAGTTCACCCCCTGGGTACTGACGTCAGGATACCCGCGCCCGCTTGCGTTAAACAGGCCCGCATTAGTGTTTCCAAGCGTCTTGAGGTATGTGGAGACTGCGGTCGCTTGGTAAGACGGCGTGCCGAAGTAGTTCGAGAAGCCGCCCGCGGAGAAGGATGCAGCGGTTTCGGGCGAGTTGCCCGTCGTAGCGCCGACGGACGTCAGGCTAAAGGAGACGACGTACGCATGAGCGTGAGGACGAAGAATAGGATCGATGGAGACTTACTAGGGGCAGCCGGACGGGAACGTGGGCACAAAGTCAGTACATTGGGCAGCTTGAGAGCCCGAGACGCCACCGTCGCCCGACGCAAAGAGGACTGACACGCCCCGCGCTCCGAGCTGTGCGACTGCATTGCACAAGTTACTGCCGCGGATATGATTAGCCCCCCGTTCTCTGCAAAACATTGCAAAATGACACGTACTCTGCCATGCCGACAGGGATGGCATCTTCGTTATCGCCGTAGCTCGTTGTGAGGACAGCTGGCGGGTCATTCTCGTTCAGAAGGAAGTTCATGATATCGAGGAAGCCTCCCAGATCGCCGTCCTGATTCTTCTCGCCGACAGAGATGAACGTCGTGGGCACGCCTGTGGCAAGCCCAACGGTATACTGAGTGTCCAGGTTCTGCATACATGCTCTCTTGTGAGTAAACGCGGGCTTATGGTGTCCCCTAATATGACTCACAGCCTCCGTGCCAGCGTCTTGGGCTGTCTGTGAGTTCTCTCCGCCATCAAGGGTCTGCACGGAGAAGGTAGTCGATGAAGAGAGATCCGGGCGCAGTGCCGTCAGGAATGTCTGCAGATCCCCCAACATAGTCAGCTTTGCCAGCTTAATTACAACAAGTGAGCGCGCGCACGCACTTTCAAGTCCGCCTGATTCGCAAACTGGTCAATGAAACCGCTGACGCCCAACTGGTTGGACGACTGCGTGGCTGGAGTGGTCGGGATGCCGTAGAGGCTCTGAAGGCAGGCAGGCGTAACCGTATTCGCGCACGATGCCGCAACGCCCGATGCGGACGACGTGGAGTTCGCCTTGCCGCCCGCTTTACCGCCAGCCTTGCCCTTCCTACGGAATGAGGCGGTGCGCCGCCCAAGGCGCTTGAATGAGGGAACCACGGAGGTAGTGGAAGGGAATCTGTATGTGCAAGGCGGTAAATCAGCGGACTCGCGCGCTGTGCAGGACCACATACGTGGTGGTCGGGTAGACAACAGTGAGGTGCGCCGCGAGGGTCTGTGGGACGGCGTACGACATAGTGCGGACGGCCTGCTGCCCGGTGGTTTCGTGAGTGTAGACGTTGAACTGTGCACCAAATAGCTCGTTGGCTTGGCTGACAGGCACGGTCAGGCTGAGCCAGTCACCGGCCGGGGTAAGTGTTGTGTAGTTCACCCCGTTGTTGTTTAGCCAGCTGGTGACAGCGGCGGTCGCCTCTTGGGTGGGTGCGACGAATGCAGCAGCCTGCGGCCGCGCGTGACGTAGGCATCAGTCACTATCGACATTGCAACACAACTAAACCATACGCACCTCCTCCTTGGTCAGGTGGTTGCCATAATTCGCGCTCGAGGGCGTGCTGACGTCGTATAATGCATCTTCCAGGCCAGCCGGGTTGCTCTGGGTGAGTGCAACGCGGAGGTTGAGCACGGCGTCAGGTGAGGCGGCACCTGCCACGGAGAAGCCCGCCGGGGGCCCCGACCTGCGGGCGAGGACATGCATGTTGCGCGTAGCGAGCGGCGACGCAAGCGTCAGCGGGAGGAGTGCAGCCACGAGCACGGTGTGCGCGAACATCTTAGGGATTGACGATGTGGAAGGCTCGTGCGCGAACTCGGGAAGCTGTACGCTGTACAGACGTGCGTGCACCGCTCGCGAGCACCTGTGAAAGGTGGAATCGAGACGACATTGCGATACAATTTATACTGTGTGGCCACACGAGGCCGAGGGCAACCGGCGAGGTGGAGGGCAACAGATCACGAAGAGAGCATTCGGATGGAAGTTCATCAGTCGCCGAGGACGGTTGGTAGGTATGCAGAAGAGAGCAAGCACCCGGGGGTCGCGTAGGAAACGGTCGCAACTTCGAGATTGTCGCACTTAATATTTCTGTCCCTGTTCGCGGAGCGTCAAATGTGCTATGCACTCGCGCTTTGCCTGGAGAAGAAGAGTAAGTGCTCTGCATATGCAAATGCTCAGCTCAGAAAGGGTCAGCACGCACCGTCCAAAATAAGTACGCGCGAGAATCACGTCACGTCACAGGGGCCATCAGACACGCAGTCACAATCCGATTGACAATCAGTGCTCGGCAGCGACGCGTCCGGCACGTGCCATTCGAAGCCAGAATCACTCACCCAGCCATACTTACTCCCTTCCGATACAATCCTTGACCTTGAAGACCCAGTGTGCTCGATCGTTTATGCTCGGCTCAGATCTGGCTGGCGCCATATCATCCTTTGAATCTAGGCTCTTGCTTCGCGCGATTGGTGGCCGACGAATCCATGTTCTCTTGCAGAGCAACATTGAATACACGCATATCTGCTATGAAGGGCTTCGGACGTCTGGAGTTTCGAGGTTGTGTGCGCGATGGGGGCTTCAGTTTCCCGAGTGCTTGTTTCTGGTATGTATAATTGATTTGGCTTGATGGCGATATCGAAGATCAATGGCCGGCTTTCTGTGCGAGAGTTGGGTCGCCGGCCGTGATGTGTCTTGGTTGCACCTGGGAATTGCTGGAAGTAATCAACGCACTACGTGAGGATCACGCACAGGACTCCTCGATGCATTCATATTCTTCCTCAAAAAAACCGCGCTTTATCTGCCATCGAGAATGCTCTGCCGCCAGCAGGGCAAGCGCGTAAACTAGCTGTGCAGAACCTTGCGTCAGTCTGGCACATTATTCCGCAGCTAACACGCACTCGCGCTCTAGTCGTTTACCATCTGGCTTCAATTGAGTGTGTACGGAATCCAATTGAGCGTTTCACTCGGCGGCTTCGGCGCGCTGCTCCATCAGCTCGGTAAACTGTGCTTTACATGATCTGCTCCATTCGCTCGCACCTTCATGTCCTGCGCCGACGGGACTGTCGTTCTCTATGGGAAAGTTGTTCTACTGCCGCTGCTGTTGGCCAAGTAAGCGTGACGTCCTCAGCTGAAGTGGTCTGTTCCTGCATGTCCGTTTCGCGCATAACCTGGGAGCTGCTTTAGTATATCTTCCTGCCAGCTACAAGTAGGCTGATATCCTTGAAACCTAGTGCCGTGCATACCTTCCCTTACTCGCTAGGGCTTGATCGGTAGAACTTATAGCTCGTTTTCCTGCATTTTCATTTGTAGTTATTTCGGTGGCGCGCTCAGCTATCGTAGTTACGCTTCTGATTGGAAATGGCACATTTGTTTTCAGCTTGTTCGCAAGGAAAGGTGTTCCTATCATCCCTGAGGCTGTCTAAAGGGTCGTATATCCAACCAATAAAGATACGCACACCTCCCGCCATGTTGACCCCCGAACAATTCGACCGGGCGTCAGTGTATTCATTTCGTGTAATCAACATGGCTTCGTTACGATTCTGCAGAACAAGGTAGATTACAACGTATTCCTCCCTGCTAGATGCAGTTAAAGTCAAGTCAATCAAGATATGGAATGGAACCTGCTTACGATCGACTAGTACCAAAAGTGCTTCACGCGGAATGCTGGGTCCTTTGTCCTGATCGCGGAGTTCGAACAGTGCCTCTCGTGTCCCTCAAGACTTGGGCACAACAAGCACCACAGAGAAACTTATGGTAATGGAGGGGCACTCCGCGCAGCGTGGGATCAGAATTAGATCTCCGCAAACCCCGTGTATCAGGCTGCCTGCTCTGGCTGTCTTCAACATTCCAACTTGCTCTCGACGCCCACTCACCAGACAATCTTCATCCTCTAACCAACTTTTGATAAATCACTCACGCGCGCATTGAACAATCACATCCTATCTCTCTGTGAGTGTCTGACTTGTTGTATGCCTTCTTGCCCATTGAGGCTCGGTGCACCAATGGTTCATTATGTGGCGCCGTCGTTTGACGAGACGACACCGTTAGACAACAGAGAGTATGGCTAACACGGATGCTTTTTTCGCTATACAGAAAACTCTGAGCAGTTGAATCACCATGCTCTGGCTTCAGATAGCCAGCCAAATCGGCATCGCTATCTTCACGTTTGTCGTGCAGATGCAGGTGCCCAACCATCTATATGTACCTGAAATTGTCGGACTTTTCATCGACGCGGCTGCCCCGCACTTGGTATACATTGCTGAAGAGGTTAAACTTTCATTCCGGTGAGTGCTGTGTATATCTGCACGCGCCACAATTACTCACTTTGGCCGCCTAGGTCCACCCATCCCACACTTCCGGCTTACCCGACTTGGCATCTAATTCCGTCGTCCACCACAGGGGTTTGCAAAGATATCATCCTCTGGACCCCTACGGCCGTCGCTGTTCCCGTCGAGCTGCACCCTCCGGCCGTTGCTACACCATTTGTGGCGTCGTCGTCGGTGCCTACGATTTCCACATCGACGCCCACGTTTACCCAAGCCTCCACAATCGGGGATGCGTGGCCGGAAACGCTGACTTGGGACGACGATGCGATTGACTTGGACAACCACTTCTGCCCAGCCTACCTTGCATCCATGGTCCATACCTGCTATCTTCGTCCAATTCATATCGTGGCCGTGGCCGTTACAGTCGCGATGGTGTGGGGAGTGTACGCACTGATCAAGATTTCTAACACTCAACGTAATGAGAAGATGGCATCTACCCACAGTGGTCTGTGGAGATATACCCAGGTGAGTACGTGCGCGTTAGTGGATGCCATGCATACTGATCATAGCGTACAGGGCAACATTGTTGCCAAGCTCGTGGGTATAGTTTATGGCGGCGCACCATCGCGGTCAAGAAAGAGCTCTCTGGACCGCGATGATGCTTCGCCGACTGTCCCATGCGCCTCCGCAGACCACGATCCCGTACCCACCGTCCTCCCACACGCGCACCAATGCGATGTCAGTGAATCGATGGCAGCGCATGTCGAGCAACGGACGGCAGCCTTAGTAGCTCACGGTAGTAATTCCACGCCAGGTACAAATATCTGTAATTCATTTACTGTGGCATTGATTGACAATTGCGTCTAGTGTCGTCCAAGTCCTCGTGGGCCCCCAGTCGGATCGCGCTCATGCCCGAAGAGGCATCAATGGCGCGCACCGCGTACGCTTGCGAGAGATACGCCAAGGTGTGCGCCGAAGCCATCAAGATCATGGAGTACCACAGCGCTCGCCCGGCCCTATTGCGAGACGCCATGGTGAGCGAACGTGAGGGGTTCCTCGCATTTGTCGAGCAGGAGGTCCAGCGTGCCGTGGGCGTGCAGGCTCAGTGGGAGGATCGTTGCGCGGAGCTCACAAGGACTTATGCGGCAATGACGGCACGGCAGACAGAAGTCAATTGGACGCTGGCGCTACTGAAGTCGACGCGTGCGCGACTGGACTTGGAACGCGCAGCGATGAGGAAGGAGCACGAGCAGCGTGTAAGGGTCCGGGAACAAGTGGAACACAAGCGTGCGCTCATCGAATCTGAGTGTCTGGAGGCCGAAAAGAAACGCAAGGAAGCCACATGGAGACGCATGCGGGCCATTGTGGAGCGGAAGGAACTGGAGGAGCAGTGCGAGACGTCGGATAAGGAGCGCTTCCAGCACGAGGCGGCGCGCGCACAAGCGGAGGAGGAACGTGCGAAGGCCGAGCAAACGCGCGCCGAAGCTGTTGCAAAGCGGATCCAGTTGGAGGAACGGCGCGAGATGCTGGAGAAGAGACATGCGCGAATCAAAGCCGCGCGCATGCAGGCGGAGGAAGAACGCCTGGAGGCCGAGAGGAGGCACGTACAGGCTATGGCTGACCGGGTGGCTCTGGGAAAACGGCGGGAGATGCTGGAGAAGGAGCATGCTCGCCTAGAGGCCGAGCGTATGCATCTGGAGGCCAAGCGTCGGCGTGATCAGGAGGCGCAGGCAGAGAAAGCGAGGCATGTGCAGGATCAGGTGGTGCATACGGAAGAGAAGGTTCTATGCGAACGCGGCGTACACACCACTCACGCGGAGCATCGGGACGCACAGACGGGTCGGGGAGGCCTATGCGAGGACGGCATGCAGACCGATGGTACGCAAGGCGTGCGGGAACAGGACGTGCAGGCTGACGCTGCGGACCATCTGTGCCACAACGAAGCACAGACTGATCCAGAAGAGGCGCAGATTGACCAGGCAGGGAGTGCGCGCGAGCAGGGCGTGGAGACACAACAGGAAGAACTGTTGCGCGAAAGCCACGAACATATGCATCACGACGTCCACGGCAGGCATCATTCGGAGACCGAGCAGATTCAGGAAGGATCTATTGAGGGGGAACAACAAGCACAGGCAGACGGCCGCGATTCTTGGGGTACGCAGGACTCGCAAGACACGAAGCCAGTCGAGCAAGCCGGGCTGGTCGGATCGGTCGAGCAGGTGATACAGCCTGTGCAGGACGCACCAGCTCAGCATGGTGAAAGCTCCGGCCATGGGTTCACGCTCGACTGCGCCCCTCCACGTCAGCCCACGCCACCCGCATCACCTTGGCTGCAGGATCATCAGCAAGCTGTCCAGGCTGCCCAGGTTTCCCCGTTGCAGGTTGTGGTACGGGCCCCTTCCCCGGATAATTCGGCCACCGCGGAAGAGCAGCCCTCGCCCCCGAGTCCAGTTGCTGCAGCAAATCCCGTCGATACACCTTCACCTGATTTTAACGCGGCCTTGACACTCCTGGGGCTTTCAGGCCAACCGCAAGCGCAAGACGTACCCAACGTCCAGGTCGAGAATGGCGGGAACACAGGGCAAGACGGGCAGCAGCAAGTAGATGATGTGAACATGGATGCGATGCCGCAGCTCCAGGGAGGCTATCAACCCACCCTCGACAGCTCGTACTACCAGCCCATGCCCCCGCAGTCTTGGCAAGGCCCATCGAGCACAGCCGGGCCATACGGCTACCAGTGGGCTGCACAGTCCCTCCCACCGGCTGCTGCAACAGATCAGCAGTTCATGGAATACGAGCCCGCGCCACCGCCTCCCACCGCGTCCCTCATGCTCAACCAGGCTTCCTCCTCCAGCCGCTATGTCGCCCCTGATGTCGTCACCTCGCACTATGCTGCCCCACGTACGGGCCAGGCACCTGTTTCACCGCCGATTGCGCCCGGGCCTGAAATCCTCGAATTCTTCCAGAATTGGCTAGCAGCGAACGGCCCGCAAGACCTGCAGGGTGGGCAAGAGATGCACGCCGAGGATGGCGACCATCACGCGGAAGATGCGCAGTCCCAAGACGATGAATTGGAGGTCGATCTCGGGTATGACGATGATGACGACGACTACAGCGCAACGGCCTACTCTGCGGCGAGTGATGCTTCCGAAGGTGATGGTTCCGAGGATGATGATTCCGAGGGCGATGATTCCGAGGACGATGATTCCGAAGGCAGCACAGAAGAAGGCGACTCGGATGAGGATCGTTCGTCTGACGCCTCGGCGGAGAATACTCACGATGAAGATGGCTATTCGCAAATCGTTAATTTTTCCGACATCCCTATGGCCCCATTGCCACCTCGTGCAGGAGATCCGTCACGCCCCGTGGCCCCGCTACCGTCCCGTTCAAGACGCATACAAGGACAACAAGAGACGGCGCAGTTTCTCCTCATGGGCCACCCCGCAGGACAGCCGCCGCTTGCTGGCCAATCCAAGTTAGTCCAGTCTGCATTGCGAGCCTGATGCCTTTGCTGACCGCACCGTTTACAGCGCGTCACCGGTTGCTTGGGGCGCAGAAGTAGACTTCGCCATTCCGCAGCCAACGTATGGGCCGCCGCAACCTTGGGGCGCGCCTATGCTGATCCAACATGACCCCTCGCCCGCGGCGTCCATGAGCACGCCGCCGTCGCGCCCTGACGAGCATGTGCAGCGCGGACATCCAGGAGCTGCCGAGTCGAATGACGTCCCGACAGCAGCACCGATCGAGCAGAGACCATTGTCTCTCCATGACCTCATGATGGCTGAGGCTGCCGCGCGGCAGACACCGAGATCGTCACCTGAAGGCCCAGAGACGGAGGAGCCGGCACAGTATCCGCCTGGTGAAGACCAAGAGAGTCGGCAAATGTAGACGCGACCGCAAAGACACTTGCGAAAATGAACGGTGAGATGTGAGTGTCAATCAGGCGCCTTCGCGACACGCTCGCTGACGCGCCGTGTGTAGTTGCGAATAGGTTTTTCGTAGGCCTGAATCGGTCCCAGCTTGAGGTACTCACCCCTCTCTATACCCCTGTGTGATCGTCCTTCTGTGCCAATATAATACCCAGTTTCTCTGCAGTGCGTGTGACAGCTGCCTGCGCCGGCTGTGAGGTTCTATTTCAAAAAGTCCTTGTGGGTATTTGCTTGTCCTACGCTGCACGACCGTCACGCATCGACACGGCCTTCACTATCTGATTGAGGCACGCACAGGATGTGCGCTTCAGGCCGATTGCTCGTTTGAGAGTCTGAATGAGATGTATATTAGCGGTCTCACCGATTGCTCGAAGGTACTCTAGACGAGGACATTCTACAACTACTATCTCGATATTCACTCCTTGCAGGTCTGTGCAGGACGAGATATAGAGATGGCGCTGTTGGAGAAACCGAGTATGAAACTCACTAGGTGGTGAACGAATTCCTGAAAAAGCATCCGCGTCGCAGCTTGTGCCGCACGAGTGAGTACCTAGAGGCAAAGCAGGCAGCGAACGAGAAGTGCTGATGCAGCCATTTCGCAGACTAGTCCCTGGCGCGCAAGGCGGCCAGCGGCGGGGAAGTCAGGAAGTGTTTGGGCGCGGAGGCGAGCAGCAGGACCCTGTGGAAGCAGCCAAATGGATGCTGGCACGGTCCCGAACGGCCCATGCAGGGAAGGGCAATCGACGACCGAATTTGAATTTGAATGTCAATGTCCGGCGTCCGGCTACTATGATCGCGGAAGATGTCCCCGTGCGGCGTCGGGATTTCGTGCCGTGAGGTCAAATTCGAATCGCCAGGGGCACGCGCATCGTGTTTGGGCTGCCGCAGCGGGAGATGGCACCGGTCGTCGAGCAAGGCCGTATCTCAGTAAGGAAACGCCGGTGTGCTTATGGGAGCAAGAGGACAGTTGGTTTGGAGAGTCACACATGTAAGTGCATGCGAGCGGATGATTAAAGTGGATATATACAATGAATCAATCAGAAGAAAGTGGCGAGCGGCGCGTCAAAGACTCGCGGAGTAGATCCGCGCTCAAAAACCAGCTTTCTCGTTCGGTCAGTGTTCCAGTCCGGCACGGAATGTCCGCAAAAGAGAAAGAGAAGTCCTGTGGCGCTTTGTCCGTCGTGGTGTGTGGAACTGCTAACATAGCGCGTATTCCCCCCGCGCTCATGCTACGTACCACGCCCTCATCAGGCTCTCTAACATACCTGACTGTAACATGACTACATGACCCACGCTCGCTCGCGCCTTACTCCTCCGTGCTGATGAATGGCTTTTGATATATTGGATCCCCCGACACGCATGTTTCATCCGGCATAGGGGTGTTGCATTCAAGCGGATACAAAACTAGATTTGAAATAAAAACCACAGCGTATCTGAACGAGCAGCCGACTGTCCGTATTACAACCCTCAGCAGGGTCAGATCAGGCAGATTGTGGTGCCGAGTATTTTGCATTGAGCATGTACGTTTCGGGAGGCCGAAGTTGTCGGGATGTGGCCCTGGGTTGACGCATCGGTACCTGACAGGCAGCCCGTCGCAGACGGCTGGAGACCGGGTGGCGAGGAGCGCACGTGCGAAACGAATTGCTACGGCGACGGAGCGCAGGGGTGGGACTCGCCGGGCGGGACAGCACGAGCCATGCGAGTGAGAGGCCACGGATGACTGGCTCTGGAGAGACGGATGGTGCCCTTCGCGATCGGAGGGCTCTGCGAAGAGACATGGCAGACAGACCGCGATGAACGGGGAACTGACCGATTGTTCGGAGCAGCCAACGCCATGGCTTGTTAAATGAAATGATGACAGGCTATCACGTCCACTGCATGCAGGAATCAATTTTCCTGCACAAAATATCAAATAATAATTGAATTAAAAGCGAATAGCACTTAGTGAATCTTACTGATGTAGAAACTGAATGGAAATTGAAGAAAAATCAAAGGAAAATTGAAAGAGGCAATGGAAAATGGATTACATAATCGATTTTCCTTCGATTTCACTTCCATATTAGGGGCCGGAATACTGATTAGGTAAATTAACTTTTCTTTTGATTTTTCTTTGATTTCTTGTACGAGAAAATTGAATACCGCAGGAAGTGGTCTATAGCGCGCGCAGAGCAGGAATTGAAGCACGAGAGGTCATTTGCTGCGCGAAGTGTATCGTGAGAATGGCGTACACGGAAAGTAGAGACGAAGGACGCGACGGCATGATGATCAGGAAGGCGGGTGAAGAGAACAGCCCGAGTGTGTGAAGGGAAGGGGGTTGATGCCGAGGGAGAGGCGCCGGACGGGTTTCTGGCCCTGGGCGAGGGTCAAGTTGTCGACGCGAGAGACGGTGGTTCCTGGTCTTGTCTATTCACTCCTAATACTCGCTTCACGTCCCTCTCTGCGCCTGGTCGCGTCCCTCCCCCCACCGGCTGCCTTATCGCTCGCGCGCTCTCCTGCTCGCCCGTTTTGGACAGCACGCTATTGTGAGGTCCCTGCGCCACTGCTCGTCCACATCCGCCCAGGGTGAGCCGCCCGCTTTTCTCCTCCGCGTCCGTGCGCCTGTCTCCGCGGACTGCCATTGTCTGATGCGTAACCCTCCTCCTCCTCAGCCCCCGCGTCTCTCTCCTTTACGCTCACGTTCCCGTCGTCGTTTGGAGTCTCTGGATTGGATTATTGGGTTACCAGGTTCGTCGCCATCCCGAATCGTGCCTTCTGCGTCATACCAATGTGATTTTCACCCCCTGAAGGCGCTTCCATATATCGCTATTGCTGCACTCTTCGCCAAGGTGTGTCTCTTCTTCCTACTATCCTGTTCTCTCTCCGCCAAGCTCGCCTTCCGCCCGCTGCGCCGTCGCCGTCGCTCTCTGCCTGAGAGCCTACCACACGCCACGATGGCGCACGTCGCGCTCACACTAGCTCCCCTCTTACGCCGCATCAGGTCCAGCGGACCACGTCCCGCAGTCGGCCATCGCAGGGCGCCGATCACCCATAGTGATAGAGTCAGCTTTCCGGTGGTCTCCGTTGATTTTCATATTCTCGACGCTGGTGCTGTTCATGTTTCAGAGAGACCTGGCTCAATCACTAGCGCCAGTTCGTGCGCTTTCATTACTGTGACGCGTCCCCGTGGCTGCTGTTGACGTGACGCTGCCGCGGTGCCCCCGTACAAGCCGCTCGCAAGAAGCCTGTGTCTGAGAAGGCTGCGATGGCTGGGCGTCACCGCCATTATACATCTGCTTCTAAAGACCACGATCTTCACATGTCCGACCGGTTGCTGACGCGCGTGTCTTCCCCTAGCCCGCGACGCCTCGCGCACGCCGTTCGATCACCCTCCCCGCGCGACCACCGTCTAGATTGGACTTTCACGTTTCTTTTTCTTTTTCACGTAACTAGTGCGTTCGTTCCTCCTCGTCGTTCGCCGCTCGTTTGACCCACACATCGCAGCGTCCCGCCATGGCATCCACATTGACAACCGAGTCGCGCTCCTCGCTCCGCGACAAACGCAACGCGGTCCCCCTTCTGCTCTCCTCGTTCCCCGCCCCGCCGTCCCACATTCCCTCATCTCCGTTTACTCCCCTCGGCACCCCTCTTAGCGCGCCCCTGGGTACTCCCCTCAGCGCACTTTTTGGCAGTCCCCTCAGCGCACCTCACAGTGCCTCCGCACTCGGACCCCCGCCCACACTGCCGCCCTCGTCGCCACTTCCGCCCGTACCTGGCCCGTCGCCCATCAGTGACCACGACACGCTGCTATTCATCACGGCAGCGCGTTCACGTCGCGCGTCAAAACTCTCGGTAACGTCGTCGTCAGGCTACTCGCGGCGCAACTCGACGGCCACGCTCGCGAGCAATGCGAGCAGCGCCGCTCCCTCGCTCTCATCTTCGGCAGGCGCAACACCTGCGGACTCGTCTCTGCGCTCCCTTAGGTCGTATCCGTCAAACGGCTCGCTGTCGGCGTATGCACGGCACGCTGACAAGTCGCCCATGTTCGAGCCTCGCATCTGTGAGGAGGACCCCGCGGAGCTTACGCGCCTGTCGCTCGATGAGATCCCCGCGCCGTCGCCCGCGCCCGACCTGAGCGACGACGAGAAGGTGCTCGAGCTCGGGCTCCCGCCGTCCCTCACGCGTCGGGCGCGCCATTCCGCGAACGACTCGATCTCGTCCATCGACATGCGCGACCTCCCCCCGCTGCACGAGGACGAGATTGACGCGCCCGTCTCCGCGCCACCCGTTTTGCGCTCCCATTCCTCGCATGCTTCCGACTTGTACGCCTCTGCTCGCAAGCCGACCAGCATCAACAAGGCCCTGCCTCCCCTGCCCCCGGACTCCCGCACCCCCGACGAGCCTGCGACGTTTCCGCGGTCAGACAGCCCAGACATCAAGACCATCCTCGCGACCACGCCCCGCCCGCACCGCAAGTCCTCCACGTCGTGTCTGTCGGGCCGCTCGCGCTCGCCATCACGCTCGCGCTCGCAGCCGCGCCGCGCCCCGCTCCGGCGGCACGTCAGTGAGGGCCTCCCTAGCGCGCGCCGCCGCGAGGGCGAGTTGCGGCGCACGAGCGAGGCGTCGCTCCCGGTGCCCGCGCGGGGCGGCCGCCCGGAGTCGCCCACGGGGCTGGCGTACGCGCGCAACGCGTGGGTGGAGGACTCGTTCGTGTCGGACTATGGCGTGCTGCTGGACGGGACGGGCACCCCGATGGACGTCGTGGACGGGGAGGAGGCGCGCCTCGAGCGCGAGCTCGACGGAAGCGGGAGCGATACGGACTCGAGCATCGACATCCATACGCCGCTGCCGTGAGTTCCGCGTTCCGTGATGTGATTGTGGTCGCTGACGGCTGATGCACCGCAGGAATCTGATGTTGCGCCACGGCTTGTTGTCGCCCAACTCGAAGCTGCTCCCACAGGCGTCGCGCGTGGGCACGCCGTCGTTGTCCAATGGCAGGCCCGGCAGTCTGCTGAGTGTAGCATCCAAAGGTGAGTCGCTCACATGCTCGTGCACGCGCGCCCAACTGAAGCGCTGTCGTTGCAGTCGACTCCGTTATGACTAAATCGGGGCTGTACAAGGACGGACGCGACACGGCAAAGAGGCGGCACCGGCATCGCGACGGCAAGCTCCTGCGTGGCGGCATCGGTTTGACGACCGGGCTCGGCTGGAGCGACAGCGAGGACGAGGATGCGCCGTCCCCGCTCACTCACAAGCTCTCCGCAAATACCCTCAAGAGGAAATCCACGCCGTCGGCGTTTCGCTCACCTCATCCCCTCTCGCGGATCGGCAGCGCGACCGGCCTGAGCGCCCTCGCCAAGGACGGCCGGCCTCGCGAACTGAGCCGCTCCCCCTGTCCACAGGATCGGCGCGTCAGTTCGAGCAGCGCCGCTTCGTCTACCGCTGGCGTCCCTTCCCGCACGTCTGTGTCATCGCTGCGATCGACGTCTTCCGCGGGTAGGTTGGCTGCTGGGACACTAGGCTACATCCACGAACGGGAGGAGACACTAGAATCCACGTCCTCAACATCGAGTGCCAGCGTATCCATGCCTGTCACCCCTGTTGGGTATGATGGGCCCGGACTGTCTCCAATCCTTGGCTCGCGGAATGGGCGGACGATGCAGCGCCCAAAGTTGGACGCCGGGCTCGCGTTCATGGGCCGGTCGGTGAGTGGCGGAAGCAACCTTGCCGCTACGCCCTCTTCGCTGCCGTCAGCGCGGACGCCGTCAGTGCCGCGACCACTCAAGCTGCCACAAGTCCACGCTCAGAGCGGCATTCGGCATGCACGGGATGGCGCGTACCAGCCGACGCTGTCCGCGAGCAGTATGAGCAGCATAGGCAGCATGAAGAGCCTCGAGCGCCCTCGCGTGTCTGGCGAACTGCAGCGTCTCTCGCGAAGCGTCCTCTCGGGCGTTCCGCGGAGCGGTGTCCCTTCCACCACGCACAGCACTCCCGCGCCGCGCTCGGTCTCCATGACGGCGCACACTCCCACGCGCCAACCTGTCCGCACGACTTCGTTGCCGCAACGGGGCGCCCCAGCACCCTCTCCTGAAATCAAGCAAAAGCCACGGACGGGCACGGGCATGGTGTATCGCTCGTCGTCCGCCTCAGCACCGGCGCCGCGTGCTAGCATGATGCGCATGCCGAGCTCCTCTCGCCTCCGGGCTGCCGCAAACTTGAACGCGGAGGTCGGGATCGCACTCTGACCACCCGATGCCGTATACGCCGTCTCCTACGTAATGTCTCTGCCCTTCACCTCGTTCATAGCCATTCTTTATTAACTCCAACTCCTGTACATCGCGTTGTCTGCCCTCCCCCACATATCCACGGCTACACCCGTCGCTCCTTGATTTCCGGTTGGTGCGGGAATCTGTCACT